CAGAACTGAAGGCACAGCTAGCCTAGATCATTCTCCATAACGTCCAGAACAACTGCACAAGAGACCCCAGTCAGAAGCGGCAGAAAGAGCGGGTGTGCCACCGTCCCGGACTGCCATGCTGAGCTGCAAAGCTGACAGGTTGAGCCTGCCACGTGGGGCAAGCCAGGCACCTAGGATGGATCTCTTTCTCCTTACCCCCTCCCCTCTCTCATCCAGGCATGACTTTGAACTACTGATCTTCCCTGCTTCCTCCTCCCAAGTGCTGGGATTAAAGGTGTCCACAATCAATCAGGCCTGGTTTATGTGGTGCTGGGGTTCAAACCCAGGGCTTCAGGCATGTTAGGCAAGCACCCTGCTACATGAGCTGAATCAGTTGTTTCAAGTGTCAGCAGAAGCCAACTGGGGGGCACAGAGGCCAGTACTTACTTATCCATATTCAAAAGAGGAAAAATCTGATGTTTTGGAAAAATGGTGACAGTAGCAGAAATAGCACCTTTGCCCTCCGGAAACTGGCTCTGCCTGAATGGGGCCATCACACTCGGGGCCAAGGTTCTCTTGCATCGTTCCAAGAAGGCACAGAAGGCCCTCTCACCTGTGGTACATGGCATTGGTGGACTCGTATGTCGGGTTGATGGGGTCCTCATAGCCGATCTCCACAGCCCTGGCACGCTCTTGGGCCATGTATGCACCACGCACCAGCTTGGCCCCAAAACACCAGCCCTCACGGCGAGCCAGTTCCAAATCCATGGTCACATTGTCATAGGCATCCTGCAAGGCCAAGCTCAAAAGTCACAGGGAGCCCCACTGGTCAGAGCACCGGGACTGCCTGCTTCATGTGTCTCAGCTTAAAGCGCCCAGGCCAGCCAGGGGTTACCTGAGGGACGCGCCCCTCAAAGGATCTGGGAGACAGATGTGGATGAAGCTGGGCCTCCAACCTCCAACCCCAAGGAAAGGTGACGGACAGTGGGGCCATCTAAGCCTCCTCTGTGTAGCCTGAGATGGCTCTTGTGGGTGCCAACCCAGATGCCTGGAGTTACCGTGTATTTCAGAGTCACCCTGGCCAGTTAGGAGCAAATTGCCACCTTTCTGGGACTGCCCCCATACACACTATGTCCTCTTGGTGCCCAGCAACTTAGGAACCTCAGGCTGCTGGGCTCGACTTGGGGTTTTTCTGGGCTCCCAGGTCTACTTCAGCCCTGTCAATCTTCCAGGGGAGTCTGGTGATTTTTTTCAGATTCTTAAGAGGGTCCTGTGCTAATAATGGCAGTCAGCTATGAGTCTTCCGAGGAGCGCAGGAACATCCTTGTCCTCTGTCCTCATGCACTTTTATTTGCATTTTGTGTTAGTAACTGTGGGAAGGTGGTCTGCAGGGCACCATCATGCACATGTGGAAATCAAGGGAAACTTAGAAACTGGCTCTCTCCAGTCACCATGGATCTAGGGTTCAAACTCAGGTTGGCAGGCTTGCAGAGCAAGCGTTTTCATTGAGTCATCTTGCCAGACCACACATACACTCTTGACTGGGTCCTGGACAGGGTCCCAGGTAGTCTTGTTTCCTCCTTTGCAACTGGCACCAACCCAACCTCTCCTGCAAGCCCAGATGTGGCCACTGGGCAGGGCCTGTTTCCTACACAGCTGAACTCAGCCTAGGGTTAGCCGCCTGCGCATTCCTTTACCTCTGCTGCTCTGGCCTCTGCACAAAGCAGGGCCAATCAGATACTGCATGGCGCCATAGAAAGGCAGGTCCCTGCGAGGTGGTGGGTCACACCGCCTGAGAGGGTCTCAGCACCGCAGTCAGACACTGGAAACAGGCAGGGAGATGGGGAGGCAGGAGGTGAATGGCTGTACCTTGAGGTAGCACTGGAATGTGTTGAAGATGAGCGGCCTATCCACATTGAACCTCCGCTGCATCTCCAGGGTCAGGCGGCTGATGGCCGGCTGGAAGTAGCTCTGCTCAGCATCTATCATCAGCCGCACACCTGAATCTCTGGCTTTCTGAGAGGCACATAAGGAGGAAGAATCTATGGTTGAAGGTTGGTGATGCCTTCCCTCTGCTCAGGTGCTGGGGCCCCTAATGCTCTGTATCCCCCACCACTACCACACACACACACTGGTAGGGCTGCTCACATCCATCCTCCCCATCCTCCCCTACACTGCCCCCCCCCCATGCACACATAGGGAGTTGATCACACCTTGGCCAGCATGTCCATCTTCCCCCATTACACACAGCTGCTCACACCTTGGCCAGCACGTCCATCCTCTGTAGCATCCTCTTCATCTGCTGCTCCTCCTCCTCGGTGAAACGTGACAGCAGGGGCACTAGCTGGCCTGTCTGAGAGTTACAGCAGAAGTCAGGTCACTGTAGGCCACAATGCTCCACCTGAGGCGAGTCACATTGGAGCAATGCTGTCTTCTGCCCACCCTTCTGCCCTGTCAGGGACCAGAGTACCTCTCAGTACCTTGCCTTAAACCAGTTAGATACAATGACAAAATGGCCCAAACTGAGAGCCAGCCCACTCACTGTCCTACGTGAGGAAACCTGTGCCTGTGTAAGCCACACCAGGCCTAGGCCTGTATCCCCAGGAGTTTATTTCTATGGCTCCCTTCAATCCTGAGATCAGTAGGGAACCATGCAAAAAAAAAAGGCAGAGGAAGAGAACCTTGACCCCAGTCAACCAGAAGGCTCCATGGGGATAGAAAAGTCTCGAGAGGAGGAGCCATTGGCTATGGGTTACTACTAACTTGCCACCTGGGACCAAAATGTGGCTTTCAAGGAGCCGAACAGGTCATTGGTGGACTGGTGAGAACTGGCAGGATGCACCAGAAACTCCAGGCAGCACAGGTCTGCCCCTCCTCCTGCAGCCCCAGCCCAGGATGCTCCTGCAATGCTAATAAGCCATCCATTCACTGATGCCAGCAGCACACTGAGTACAAACAGCATGTGCCAAAGTCTGTCGGTGACCTTGGAGCGGAGACGTCATGAACACGCTGCACCCTGAGGTTCCAGGACAGTGGCTCAAAGTTTGGGGTGGGCCCTCAGTCTCAGGGGCTGGGAACACAACAGAAGAAACACCTGCAGGTCCCTTGGCTGCTACTGCCGTTCCTCCTTCAGAACCCAGAGCAGGGGTGTTCCACACAACACTTTCCCCCTGAATTCAGGCCACACTAGCAACTCACTTTGCCACGCTGAACTTGGCGTGACTTCTAAGGCCAGGCTGCAAAAGTCAATGCAGCTTCTGCCTGGCCTTCATCTCAGGGGACACTCACTCTGGGAACCCAGCCACCATGTTTGGAAGAAAGCCCAGGTGGCAATCAGCACCACCTTCCACACGTGTGCAGGGTACCTCCATGACCTGGCCCTGCCTGCCACCCTCTGACTATAAGTGACTAGGAGACCCCAGATGAGAGCTACCCAGCTGGACCCTGCTCAGCCCTAAAGACTTGTGGGGACCCCACACACAAGACTAGGTGGGCTGGGGAAGACCTTCTCAAGACACCCATCCTCTCCTTGTGTGTAGAGGTCCACTGAGCACTGTGGACACTGGGTTTGTCTTTGTGGTAGGGTGAGAAAGAATGGCACCTCAATCACAGTGAGTCCCCTGGGTGGGCAGACACATGGAACTGGGGGATACCTGCACATTGGGAACCACCAGGTGCTTGGAGAGCTGGGTCCTGCTGTCAATAAGGCTGTTCCAGTTCAGCAAGTCCACAGTGCTGAGGGATGAGGTACATCAGCAGAGCAAGCAGCCAGAAATTCTGGGTCCAACCACCTGGCTTTACTCCCAAGTACTAGGGTTGTTTGGGGGTCTGACACACACCAGCCCATTCCTCAAATGACTACTTCCAAACTCAGTCTTCACAAAGCCCACCCCAGTGTTTGATTTTAAAAACTAAATACTTCTCTCGATTTAAAAAAATTAAAACCAAATCATGACCATTTTTCCAATGTGTCAGTATCAGTAAAAACACAAAGTATACAGAGAATTCCACAGCCAGGTCAGGCTTAAGAGCCAACAGTGTAAGGCTAGGCAGGATGCAGATGTCACTTCAGGGGACTGGAGATGCCAATGGGCAGGGCTAGCCAAGGCCACCTGAGAGCCAGTAGCTCTACCTCAAGCCAGCATTCTGACTTGACTTGGAACTCCTGGTGACATTAGTCCCAGCCTCTGTCCCTAAGGATGGGACATGAGGTGCTACTTCACCCGCCAGTGTGGCTCTTAGGAAGATGCTCTGGGACCAGGGTTGTTTTCTAAGAGTCTTGTGCCCATGCTGCCTGTCCCCCAGGATGCCCAGCTCACTATCAGTTCCTGTCAGTAGTACCCCTGACACTGTCATTCCCATGGCTCATCCTTTCCTGGAAGGTGACCAGGAATAGAAGCCACTGGGGCTCAGCTGAGGCCATGACTGTACCGGGGTGGATGTCGGCTCTTACCCAGACACTCCCAGCGTCTCTGGTGTGAACCACCCCTCGATCTCAGCCCTGGACGCGATGCCCATCTTTGCGATGCTTTCCTTGAGAATGGAGAAGGTAGAGTCAGGTGGCGTCTCTCGCAGTCCATTAACACCCATCCCCACCACGACTCCGAGAGTGTCACATCATCTGTGATAACAGGACTCATTTCAGGGTCATTTCTGTTCCTGGTGGCTGTGGTACCTTTTCCATCTTTGCCGTTTCCCACGTCAGCTACCTGCTGAGCCAACCCCCTACCCCCACAGCCATACACTTTGTCGACAATGGAGCCGTCCAGAGTTCCTACCACACACTGTTCCCCCGCTTCTCCCCGCTACTGCCCCGGCTACACCTCCAAACATCTCCAAGACCCCACCTTAGACCACTGTACAGTTCCAGGGGAAGGGGAAGGGCTGCTCACCTGGAGTACCACCACCTCCAGCTTCGTGTCTACAGCAGCACGCCCAGACTGTCCCTGCTCTGCAGCCATTTGATGAAAGAACCGTCTCCACCTGGTCAGCACATCTGAGAACTGCAGCTGCCAGTGCAGATGTGAGCCCCACTGCAGCAAGTGCCCAGCTCTTCCATCCAGTCCTGGGGCCACCTCTGTAGCCCCAGATCGCAGCTACCAATCTGAGCCTCTCCGTGCACCTAGCAGCCCCAGGGTCTCAAAGCCTCTGCAGATCCAATGCGCCACCACTTACCAGAAACTGTGGTCTCCCCAGTGCAGTGAGCTTAATGGCTGAGAAACCACCGTCACTGGCTCCACCTGTCAGAAGCCAAAGGAAGAACTGTGAGTGTCTCCAAGGAGACGGATGACTGAGTCAGAGAGACCAAGTACACCTTGCAGTTCCCTGGCCTTTAAAACTAGCCCCGTAGCCAGCTCCCACCCATAGTGAGACCTAGTCCCCCAAATGCCCTTGCCCATGGCTGCTCCAAGGACCGTGCGACAGAGGTGGGGAGGGCTGATGAAACAGCCTTTGAACTGCAAGAAGACACCAGGCAAAGAAGCCCAAGAGATCTGTACTGCCGGCGGCCTCCTTGGCTGTTTCTTCCTTACGCCTTCAGTACTGTAGGCCATCCATGTATGGGCCACAGAGCACAGAAATGCCAAGTGGAACAGGGGCTGCACAGAACCCCAGGGAGAACAGCCAGAGGACAAGCGGATGCTTCTCACCAAAATGCCAAGACGCCAGAGTGCCATGATTACACAGGCCACCCTGGTCCGTGAGGTAACTGCTTACTAGTGTTACACCCTGTGGAGTGCAATGCATTTAAAGGTGTGGGGTCCACTACCACACGAGCAGGACCCCTGGGACCCTAGGACTCAATGGCCCCATGGCTTAACTGGCCTTCCCATCCCCAATCCTCTTATAACGAGGAGGAGCTGCAGTCACAGAGGCTGGGTCATCAGCTCCCAGATCTGACCCTCAACCTGAGGGGTGGGGATTCCGGAACTCAGTGTCAGGACACCATATGCAGGGGCAGGCCCAGGGGCAGGAACGTGCACAGGAACATGGGCTTGTCAGGGGGTCCCCCAGGAGCTGTCAGGACCCTTCACTGCAGCCCTGACCTCCTGCGCAAGGCTCTGCTGAGCAGCTAGCGAAGCTGGGACCCCACCTGAGGCCTCGATGGTTTGCAGTAAACTCTCCATGTAGTTGTCACACTTGGCTTCATTGGCATAGAAGTAGGTCCGGGCACAGATGAGCCCATCTCGGCGGTCTCCAAAGGCAGGGTGGACCTGATATCGCTTCTCCCTCTTATTTGTGCCTGGGAAGGTAGAGACATGGCCTTTTTAGAGATGCCATCCTGGTTCAGAACTTCTTCTTCAATGTCCCGCCCACCCCAGCATAGCCCAACATCCCAGAGCTGCAGCCCTCCAGACGGGCTCCAAACGGGCCTTGCTGAGCAGCCTGAAGCTGCCCTCCTGATAGCCCGAATTCCTCTGCCACTTGGGTCCCCCGCCTAAAGCTTGTGATGCAGCAGATCAGGCCAGGAAAGGAGCAAAGCCTCCGTGGCAAAGGCTTGGACGGTGGCCTGCTGAAGGCCAAGGTGACTGAGCCTTCCTAGAACTGTTAAAAATACCAGGAGCCTGTATCCCACTAGGAGCCCTCAGGTGGGTCGGGTACAGAGCCAGGACCATAGCTCTGGCCACAGGATGCAGTCTCTGGCTTTGTCTCCTGCCCAAAGGGCCGGCCCAGGCCAGAAGCCCAGGTGTTTCCTGGGCCACCAGACTGTGCACTGGTGTGAGGAGAGTACCCGTTCCTAAACTCACCACTGCTGTCTCTCTCTGCGTCAGAAGTGCATGACCTGCAGGACAGAGGAGGAGGCAAAGGTCAGGTCACCAGGAGGCAGCTGAGCCTCGGACTAGACCATGAACCTGATGGAAGACTGACTCAAGGAAACAGACCAACTTGAGTTAATCCAGTCCTTCCTCAGGCCTGGCATGACCACCTGGGCCAGAGAGAGGATGCCCAGGCTGCCTGTGGGTAGATCCTTCTTTTTTTTTTTTTTTTTTTTTTTTTTTTTTTTTTTTGGTTTTTCAAGACAGGGTTTCTCTGTGTAGCTTTGCGCCTTTCCTGGAACTCGCTTTGTAGCCCAGGCTGGCCTCAAACTCACAGAGATCCGCCTGGCTCTGCCTCCCGAGTGCTGGGATTAAAGGCGTGCACCACCACCGCCCGGCCGGGTAGAGCCTTCTTTACTGATGAGGCCAGGCAAGGAGAGGAATAGGGGCCACCCTGTACAGGGGCTCCTCCATTCCAGCAACAATGCCCCTTGCTCTGGCCTGCACCCCTAACATCTATGGTCTCCAGATAGAGTCCCACACACCCCGGCTACTCCCACCCTATGGCCCCAGTCTCTACTACGACGCTTAGGCTTATTTTCCAAATAGCGACCAGAAATTTTCTTAGAAGATGTAAATGAGACCTTAATATCACCTCATTGGAAACCTCCCCGGTCCCCATCACACTCGGGGACATCAAGTCCTCCACAGGGCAGGGTGCCGAGGCACATCGCAGGGCAGAACACTGCTTCTTCCCTAGCACTCTTCAGCAGGTCTTCCATCAGTGAGCCTTATCCATCAAGGAACCTCACTGTGACTCGAGCAAATCTGGGCCACCAAGACGTGCCGAGAAGTCTTGTCCTGGGCCCTCCTCTCAAGTCCCAGGACCCTTATTCAGACGTTTTGAGTCAGAAACTATGGGGGGGGGGGGCAGGCCATGTCCTTGGGTGTCTGGGGCTCCCCACAAGCCCCTCAGCCCACCAGGCCACAGCCCAGGGGACAGAAGTTAGGCAGACAGCTACTGCTCCATCTACCCCATGCTGACAAGATGTAACAAGAAAGAGGGTGAAATGTCATTTGTAACAGTGTTCTGAGTCTGTAATGAGGAAGCAGACAGTCCCCATGCATCACCTTCCCTCAGAGACAGACAGCCAAGGTCCCCGGAGGATATGGGTTCCCTAAGAGCAGTGTAGGTCAACCAGACAAAAGTCCCCAGGGCTATCAGTGCAGGCAGGCAGGCGCAGGGATTCCCCAGCAGAAACACTGTCAAGGAAGCAGACTTGGCTGCTCAGTGACCCCTGATGGGAGGTTGGTTACATACCCCACAGCCCAGAGTTTAGATGGTCTGGTCTCCACGCTTTCTGTGCCTTTTTCCATTGGCTAGGGACAGGCCTCATCTCTGGGTCTGTAGGGCTGCTCACTTCTGGTCAGGTACAACCAGTGGGCCCTGTAAGCTCTTTTCCCTGCCCGGAGGCAGCATGTGGACATGGCCAGCCTCCCTGTTACAGACTCAGAACACTGTCAGAGTGGCATTTCACCCTCTTGTTAGTACTTTGAAGGCACAGACACCAGCAGCAGACCTGGACCCACATCCCCACCACTTGTTGGCCCTGGAGGGTGGGCACTGTTAGGTCAGGAAAGGTCTATTTCTGATGTCCCGGAGCCCAAGCAAAGCTCCCGTGGGACAGGCAGCCATGACAAGCTCATCAGTCAATGGGCATGCACAGACAGGCAGGGAGGGCGGGCCTACCACCCAATCTCACAGCAAGGCCGCTTGGGTGAGAGCACTCAGTGCTCACTCTATCTAGGCCGAGGCCGTGGAATCCATTTAGTTATTCAACAGCAGCCTTAGTAAAGGCCTGCAGCCAAATCCTGAGGTTCACAGGGGATGCAGGGGCTGGGTCACCCCGCCTACAGAATGGCCAATCACTAAGCCGGGGCTGGGCTCCCAGGCTGAGGCCAGGCTCGGACATTCTGTTCTCTGGGCCAGCAGCCTCATATGACTGCCTTTCCCCAGCCCCTCCTGCTAGCCACCTGGGGAGGAGCAGGGTAGAGTCAACGGCCTGACAAGGCCCATCCTGAGCTTCACACGTGTGGAACCCCTGCAGCCAGAGACCTAGGACCCAAAACCCAAGCAAGGGCCTGTTAGGGAGGGTACAGGCCTCCAGAGTCAGCTGCCACCCCAGGGGCAGAATAAGGCCACTCTGTCCTGCTGCCAAGGGGGCAGTCTGTGAGCTGTGCTTTCTACTCATGGCCTGGGGAAAGTCCCTGAGGCAAGTTGGTGCCAGCAGGATACTCCAAGCTGCCTGTCACACCACACTGCTGCCTGCTACATCCTGCTGACCATGAGTGTCTGGCTAGGCCCAGTCTGCAAAGCTCTACACCCTGCAGGCACAGCCATCTGCAGATTAGGAAACTATTTGAGGACTAGTTGGAACCTGCAGGTCCAGTCAGTGAGTCGGGAATCCTTGGAAAGAGAGATTGTAGACTGTAGCAGAGCAGGAAGCCGGGCACCACCAAATGTTCCTGTGAATGGCTAAGTCTCAGCCTTAGAGGCCACACACTTACACCACTCTGCCCTTGCAAGTTGCAAAGGCAATCTGAATTTTAAATAGTTTTGTATCACAAAATATAGTTCTTGTCCTGATAGTTTTCAACCACTCAAAATGTAAAACTACAGCCTCAGTACTATGTGATGAGCTGGACATGCCAAGGGCCAGTTTGCAGATCTATCGCTCAGCCCTCTTCTGGTACAGGCTCACAAAAGCACAGCGCTCTGGTCTGCAGGAAAGAAGAACTCTAGCTAGGCACAGCCCATGAGGGCTGCTGGCAATCAGGCCAAAGGCTCTCCAAGTCTTGGCCACCACCTAGCTGAGGCCCCCATAGCCTGGTGCACCTCAGGGTTACATCTGTGCCTTATAACACCAGAAAGACAGGCCTTACTCCATCTCCTTGCGCTCTGCCTCCTCAGGGCTCAGATCTTCCTCCAATCCATAGTCCAGTATGGAGCCAACACCGAAGGCTTTGTTGTGCCGGATCAGAGGCCTGATAGACTCCTGGTCCTCGCCAGCCACAAAATGGCCATAGACGGTCATCTTCATTAGTCTGTCGAACATCCTCTGCCCCAGAAGCTTCCTGGCAACATGGAACAACTGAAAGGCAAAGGGAAGCAGCTGTCTGGCCATCTGTCTGGCCATCCTGGCAAGACCGCTGCTGACGACTCCCGTTTCACCCCAGTGCCACACTGTGCGTGGTTGTGTTGTGTTGTTTGTTTGTTTGTTTTGTTTTTCGAGACAGAGTTTCTCCGTGTAGTTTTGGTGCCTGTCCTGGATCTCGCGCTGTAGACCAAGCTGGCCCCCAATTCACCAAAATCCACCTCGTTCTGCCTCCCGAGTGCTGGAATTAAAGGCATGCGCCACCTCCGCCTGGCCCTGTCCGTGCTTTATAGAGACCACTTGAAGCAGTCCTGATCCAGGGCAGCATGGGAGAGGCTGTGCCACTTCTCAAGCTGCTGGCTCTATGAAACTCTGAGCACATTGTTCCCTTAAGGACTCTGCCCCAAGGGGGCTGGCTCATGGAGTACCCCAGGACACCAAGGTTGCCTGATCACCCCTTGGTGGGGAACAGTAGATCCAGCCAATCTCCGGTTGGCATTTCTGCAACATTTAGTGGTCTTGGGGGGGCGGTACAGAGGTAACTCTCTAGAATGATCTCTCGCATGATGATTTGTTCTCTTGTTCTAACCCATCAGAACAGGGCTTGGTGTGAGGCCCTCAAACAGCTGCTGAGCAGTGGCTACACACAAAATTCAAATGTCTGGAGAGAGGTCTGTCTGTCTACAAGACACCATGAAATGGGAGTCCACTCCACAGTCTCATCCAGGGCTGACCAGCTATGCTGACAGATGTGCCCCCACTAAGATAGCTGCATGCAACCAGCCACTTTTTCTCTGTCATATTTCACTCCATCTCACATTACTGTAAGCATTCCTTAAGCCTGAGGGGAAAGGGGGAAGGAAGCAGACAAGAGAGATGCCAAAGGGGAAGAAGCAACAAGGTCACTCCTCACATAGCTAAGGCAGAGACAGTATTGTGGACAGGGATGAGGGATATTTGCTAACCTAGAGTTAGGAAAGAGGGTGCTCCACAAGGCAAGAAGGTGAAGTGGGGAGCACGGGGAAGAGCTCTGGCAGTAAGGAGTGGTGACAAGCAGGCCCCAGGTGCTCAGAAGCAACCCCACACATACACACTGTAGAAACCCGTGTCTACTCCTGCCCACCCAACTCAGCTCCAAGAAAGGAAACGCCTGGGGTTCCCCAAGCCCCATGGACAATGAACCCCATTCTATGTGGGGAGCTCACTCTTAGTCTAAACATTCACAAGTCAAACACCTTCCCTATCAGGCCCTGCCACTCTATGATGGACTCCTTGGAGACGCCACTAGACAGCACCTCATGCAGTTCGTTCAGGACCTGGGATGACTTCTGCATTGTTCTTTTATCAAGAGTTATAATCTCTGATTTAAACAAAAAAAATCCTGACACACTTCCCATGGGAGGCGGTAGATGAGGGAATGGCCACCTATGACAATCACATGCTTTCTCACCCTGGTCACTGGGAATGGTGGATACACATACACACACACACACACACACACACACACACACACACACACACACTAAACATTAAAGCAAAAAAATGGACAGCCCCTGAGGAAGCACACCCGTGTGTCCTTGGGCTCCCGTACATGCATGTGCGCTCATACACACAAAGAAAAGTCTCAAACGATGTCCAGGAAATGACGACAGTAAAACCAACTCCCTCCTCTGGCCCCAGAGAGTCATCACAGTTTGCACCCAATCTCTTCAGCTTAGGCTCACAGTCAAAAAGTGATAGCCTGCCAGGGGTGGTGGCACAAGCCTTTAATCCCAGCACTCGGGAGGCAGAGGCAGGTGGATCTCTGTGAGTTCGAGGCCAGCCTGGTCTACAGAGCGAGTTCCAGGACAGCCAGGGCTACACAGAGAAACCCTGTCTTGATGTCAAATAGGCTGCTTCATGGTCCCCAACAAGGCTCCAAACCCAGGCAGCATTCCAATCTCAGTTCCTTAGTCCACGGCTCCTCGGAACAAGTCTGGTTGCCCACTACCCCAGCTAGAGCCTCACAGCTGCAAGGCCTGGGTCGACTGTCCTCTCTCCCAGAGAGGCTCCCAGGGTACAGGATAGACAGGTGGAGCCTGGGTGAGGGTGGGGTTTGCTGCTTCCTCCAGGAAGCCATAGCACATCCCTGAGCTCTACCCAGCACTACCCAGAGCAGGCTCCAGAGAGCCAGAGGAGATGGCATGCCCTCCTCCTGGTCACCCACAGTACCCTGATTGGCATAGAGGTGCAGGACTCACCCGCCTTAGAACCAACCCTCAGGCCCCCAAGGACGCTACTGGGTAACTGGGGAGCTGGTAGTGAATCTAGGGGAAGCACAAACCACTGCTCATCCTGTCTCCAAAGCAAAAGCAGTCACCTATTGCTACCTGAGGAGATGGTCCAGTTCCTGCTCTGCACAGAGACCCGGTAGTTAACCACTGTAAGTCATTCTTGCCCAGCTTGCTCCCCCCCCCCCCCCCGCTCCCCCCCAGCTGCCTGCTACTTGCTGAGACTTCACAAAATCCTTGACACTTGATTCCCCCCAGCTGGGGCTCCTTTTCCTGTGTTCCCAGCTCTCCTACCGGGCGTTATTTCCGCACATCATGGCCCTGCCCACCATTACTGCTCCACAAACATACCTGGCTCCCACACTTTGTTTTACCCCCAGGCTCCAACGCTTACAATGCCGTTCTTCCAAGGGATCCCGACAGCACTTCAATTCCATCTTGTGGGGTGTGACTTACCTCCTACCTGCTGTGGCCTCAGCTAAGTGCAGCTCCAGCTCCTCCAGTCTCGCCGGAGAAGTCACTTCCAGATCTGTATCCTTGCAAATATCACCGGGTCACCTTCAGATAACTAACTTACACTAACATTTCAAGACCGGCTGAAGCGGTATTCTGCTTTCCACAAAGGCCCTCACATTTCTCAAAGTTACCATGTTGCAGTTTAAAGTTGCATGTTTCCTAGTCTCTGAGAACCTCCAGCTTCTACACTGCATTCCAGTTTGTGCCGGGTAGAGATGAGTTACCCTTCGGCCAGTAATCAGAGCACTTGGGAGGCGGAGGCAGAAGGATCAGAAGTTTCTGAATCTAGGCTCTTCGACTGTATTTACAATAAATTTAAACATAAGAAACAAAACGTTGGGAGTTTGTCCCATTTCCCAAAACTTTTCGGAGTAGCTGTGTTTGGGAGCGGCTGGTCACACTGGTGGAATTCTGGGGTCCTAGCCTAGATAAGCCCTTCAAGCTGGACAAACCTGGGAGCTGCATGGAGGATAGCAGACTTATCACGGGTGACGGATGCATTCCTACACACCGTACATAGTTTAAACACTATCGGCCCTTCTTCCTAATTGGTAGTGACTGCAAGTAGGAAACTTCACGAAGTCCGGCAGCACGCAGGAAACCGCCCTCTTTCTTGCCTGCCCAGCTTCAGGCCATGCTTGAGTGGCTCTGCCTGACACTTCCGAACTCGGTAACCCGCTGGCCGCGCCGATGTCCCCGCGCGGCTCCTGCCCACCTGGCCACCCACCCGCGCACCTGTTCGTGGTGCGCCAGCAGCACCCGCGACGCACACAGGCGCAGCACTAGCAGGTTGCGCACCAGTTCCCAGCTCCTCCGACTGCGGTACGCCTCTTGCGTGTTGCTGAAGTCGACGACGGGCACGGGCCGCCGCACAGCCTCGGCTGCTCCCCATGCTCGCACAGCCCCTGGGCTCGCGGCGGGCTGCTCACCGGCCTGCGGCTCTGTTGAGAGACTGGCAACACGTGGTGCCGCCGAGCGCAGCAGGAATACGCGCCTCAGAGCCATGGCGGAGCCAACACGCGCGCCCAGGAGGCTTAAGTACGCTCGGCCAGCCACGCCCCTGAGGCCACGCCCCATTCCCGGAAGCCCCACCCACCACCCAGTGGCTCGGCTCCCATTTTAAGAAGCTTTGTCCGGCTCCGCAACCCCCTCCATCTCCCCTGGAGTCCTTCCCTGGCGTCCTAGTTTGGCGTGCTTCCCGTGGCTGACCACGCCTCCCCAGGCCGCAAACACTCCTCCTCCTGAGCCCACCCCCAGTTCTACCCCCAAGACCCCGCCCCTTGGGAAACCGGGACGTTTAGCTCTGGGATTTTCCTGTCCCTAGGCTGGCCAGGTGGGTCCAGAGTCCACTGGTCAGTGCCATGACACCCTGGCACACCCGGATCCTCCGTTCCCAAGCAGCGGGGACTCACAGCTCAGGCCTGGCCTGAAGAATTCTGTCCCAGAAGGTGGTCCTTTCCCACCACTGCACCCTGCCTAAAATGCTGTCTTAAGAGCTGCCCTTTCCTGGTTTTTTTGTTTGTTTGTTTGTTTGTTTGTTTTTTGTCCTTTAGACCCACTTCCTTGCCTCGGGGTAAGCAAGGGACCCCAGGCTCCTCTGTGAACCCTTGGAACTCTAGTGATTCCTCCCTCCCTTACCTCTCCACACCTGGTACCACCAGCAGCAGATGTCGCCTACAGATCCTCGCTGCCTCTACCTTGGCACACACTTCTCTGTCACTCACTCCATGTTTCCCCTCTGATATCCCACCCTCCTGCAGAGACCTAGTCTGGTTGTGGGTGGCAATATGACCCCCCGGATATCCCCTACGGGCTTGGCCCTGCCTTTCCTACACCTCTGCAGAAATTTTTTGGCGCCTTGGGCCCTCCTGTCTATCTTAGACTGGATATTTAGAGCTGCGTGATTCTTTATGGTGGAGACTGTCCTGTGCACTGCAAAACGTTTATCACCATCTTTGGCCTCAGATGGCAGTTACACACACACACACACACACACACACACACACACACACACACACACACACACACTTGAGATGACCTAAAACATCTCCAATATTGCCAGATGCCCCTGGAAAGCATAATTCCCACTTGTCTCGGCTGAAGACAACTTCCTAAGACAGGACCCAGGTTTTTCCTGCTGGAACCTAATGAAACCTAAGGGGGAAAAGCAGAGCATGTCAGAAGCATCAAAGTTGGGAGGCAGGAAGTCAGGAGTACCCTACAGCAGCTCAGGAACTTGACTAATAGGGAGCAGGATACCCTTGGAAATGTCACCATGACCATCCACCCATCCTCCTTCTGGTCTAACCCACACTCGCCGCACTCCTCCACCCCACCCCCACCCCACCCACGATCTTTTGGTCAGCCCCAGTCTGTTGCATGTGGCTGTGGGACATCCACCCCTCCTACTATGCTCCCTGTGTACCCCCCCCCCTCCTCCTGAGGCTCTGGAGGCTCTGCCATCCCCCATTTGCTAGCCACTGCTGCATTCTAGCTGACACTTCATGTGACTTGGTTGAGAGAAGGAAGGACAGAGTGATACAGAATATCTTGTCATAGGCTCTAGGTGTCTGGCTCGTCCTCCAGGCCCTGTCCTAGAATCTGAGTCCTGCTGGACCACACCTGGCCCTCACTCAGCACCTGAAGGTCGAGTGGCTGATTTATGTAGTTGGGACCTTCTTCTCTGCAATATAAATCCTTCTATCTAATATTTCCTGCTGCTCACACTCAGGAAAACTCTGGAGAACTCTGGGGTTGGTGGGTAAACGCCCCACACCCATGGGCTTCCAAATAGCTCTGTCCCTGTGTTGGGCACAGGCACCCCTTTGATGCCATGTGTCTCTAGCAGCCACATCCAGTGGTTTGGCTACATTCCAAGCTCCTGCACCTGGTGACCAGTATTGGACCCCAAGTTCCTGAGCCCCAGCTTCACCCAGATCACATTTGGTAGGAGAGATGCAGTTGCCCACCAGCTGATTAAGAGATGTACGCCCAGCAAAAGGAACCGCACTGTGGATGTGCCCATTTGTCATTGGTCTTGCTGACCCACCAGGAGCCCCCACTCTATCGCTCTTTTATGAGCGTGGAGAATGCCATCCTTCACCGCACCATAACAGGGGAGACTGATGAGTTTCCTCATTATGACAAAGTGAGACCAAGCCATGTATTACAAGCAAGATGGCCAGGGTTCCTTCATTGGAACCCCAGCTACAGCTGGTGAATCAAGCCCTAGACATCTACCACTGACCAGTGATTGATTGGTGGGGTGGGCTAAAGTTTGGTAGCTCTCCAATGGTCATGGACAGTTTCAAAATACCAGGTCTGTTGCTGTTGTTATTGTTATTGTTTGAGGCAGGGTCTCATATATTCTCGGCTGCTTCAAGTTCACTGAGTAGCCAGAGATGGCCTTGATCCTCCTGCCTCTTCCTACCCAGGATTCCTTGTACACCACCACCCTTGGTTTATGTGGTGCTGGAGGTCAAACCCAGGGCTTTGTGTATGCTAGGCTAGCACTCTGCCAACTGAGTCACATTCCCACCCTTCAAACACACACACACACACACACACACACACACACACACACACACACACACACACACATTTCTGCTTTATGCTTGGCCTTGTGCCAAGGATGAAATATATTAAGGATAAATTTTCATGTACATGTACAGACTTGTTCTTCTCTTTATTTCCCCAAACAATGTATCTGAATAGCTATTACCATGATACTTACATTGAGTTAGGTATGATAAATGGGGTGGTTTGAGTGAGAATGGCCCCCTAGGTGCTTGGTGGAACTGTTTGAGAAGGAATAGAAGAATTAGGATGTGGCCTTGTTGGAAGAAGCGTGTCACTGGAGGTGAGCTTTGAGGTTTCAAAAACCCGTGCCAGTCTCTCTCTCTCTCTCTCTCTCTCTCTCTCTCTCTCTCTCTCTCTCTCTCTCTCTCTCTCTGTGTGTGTGTGTGTGTGTGTGTGTGTGTGTGTGTGTGTGTATCTGATGCCTGTGGAGCAGGATGTAAAGCTCCAGCTACTGCTCCAGCACCATGCCTGTCTGCTTCCCACCATGATGATCACGGACTCACCCTCTGAAACTGTAAGCCAGCCTCCAATTAAATGTTTCCTTTACAGCAGTTGCTTTAGTCATGGTGTCTCTTCACAGCAATAGAATAGTTACTGAGAAAATAATTTCTATAAGTTAAAAAAACTATTTTATGTGTATGTGTGTTTTGCCTACATGTGTGTCTGTGTACCACATGCTTGCCTGGTGTCCATAAAGACCAGAAGAGGGTATCAACTCCCCTGAGACTTGAGTTACAAGTAGTTGGGAGCCCCCATGTGGGTTCTGGGAACTGACCCTGGGTCCTCTAGAAGATCAGCCAGGCTCTTAACTGCTGGGCCACCTCTAGCCACACAATAAGGAAGCTTGAGGTGAGCTGAAGCACATGGGAAGTTGTGCTTGGGTTGTGTGCAAATACTATGTCATTTTAAGAAGGAACTTGAGAAGCCTTGGAGGTTCATACTCACAGATACCAAGTAACAAATGCTCTTTGGAACTCTGGAATCTAGTAGACCACTCAGTATCCAGGGCACCTTGATGTAGCTACACAACTTTAGTCACTATTAATTTCTACCTTCCTGGAGATAGTTGCTGTCCCCTGCTTCCAGCCCAGAGCAAGCAGCTATGGGGACAGTGGGTCTTGTTCCTGTTTCATAATGGCACATTTACAGTAGGGAAAAGTGAGAACAACCCAGATGTCCTCTGATGAACGAGTGGGAAAATAAAATGCAGTGCATTCATTCAATGGAATATTGTTCAATAATGGAAAAGAGATGAAATGGATTTTGTTATTCCGTTGAGATAAGGGTATCACTATGGCACCTTCAATATAACACACTTAGAATCCATCCATTCTACGACACATATTAATCCTTCACTGTAGTGGTATTTTCTCGGCCCATGACCTTGGGTTTAGGGCCCAAAGGAGGCGGTGCTTCCTGCTGTTGTATGTGACAGGAGCAGGGAGAAGGGGCATGTAGAGACATTCGATTGTAGGGGCTACCAAGTTAAACCAATATGTATATTTTAAAGGTATGTTGACTTCAAAATTTATGTCTAAGGATATGTTGCTTTGGTAAAGAGGTTCTGCTTTTGTTTCCACAGAAGATGAGAACCTATGGATTGCTTCCAGGCTAATGTGGTTTGATCAACCAAGACCCTCTGAAAGGTCAATACAGCCTCAAAGACTACAACAGCTAAGATTTAACTATAATTCTTAATTTTCTCAGGATCCCCATAAGATCTCCAACACCCCCAACCAACAGGAAGTAGTATAAGAAGCTATGCCCAAATTCCCAAAATATTATTTATGAATGTTTATTTTTATTTAAAGGGGGTTGATTATAAATACAATCTTCTTCTTAAGAAGAAAAGGGGATAATATAGCTATGATAGGATAAAAGGGTAGATTATTGAATGTGGTGGTATTGTGTTCCCCAAAATATTGTGTGACCCTAATAAACTTATCTGGGGTCAGAGAACAGAACAGCCACTAGATATAGAGGCCAGAAAATGGTGGCGCATATGCCTTTAATCCTATCACTTGGGAGGCAGAGATCCATCCGG